TTCCCTGATAAGTTACATCAGCTGGGTGTTGCAGACTGAGCTTTAAATAGCACTGATAATTTAAAAGATATTAAATTATAGCAGCGGTGCTAAAAATATGTCTTTTTTATATCTGACAACCACCCTTCCCACCAGCCTCATTCCTTTTCATGAACGGCTAATGGAAATGAGATCATTAAAGCTGTGAGAAGAAGATCTAGTTAGAAAATAAAAGTAATCTTCACAGAAATCTGTGTGATTGAGAAGGAAGAAATGTGGGAAAGAGCAGATTTTTAGCCTAAGAGAAGGATGAAATCAAAATTAGCTATGGGGAAGCTTTGAAGTCTTCCCTGATTGAATTTGTGCCAAAGTGTGACAGTCCAACCACTTTATCAATCAGATAACAGAAAAGCAGTAAAAGTAAGTGATGATTGTTATAGTCAACATTTATTGAGTGTTTACAAAGGGCCAGACACTCTGCTAAATACTATCAATGGCTTATCTTTTTGAAACTTACAACAAACCCCACTTTACAGATAAGAAAACTGAGAGTCAGAGGTTAATTCTAAGTCTTGTAACAGGAAGAGCTGGGAAGGGTTTTGCACTCCGTTTACTCACCTAGTACAGGCGTGCTGCTAGTTTCTATTTTTAAGAAAATGTGATGTAATTTTAAGTCAAGAAGCATCTGACGACCCAATGATAGAATCCCTAGCTCTATCTGGATTCTGATTTCTCAGTGAAGATCTTTCGCAACCAGTTGTTGAGTTAACTGACTTAAAAGGAACATTTTTAAAAATGAAAAATATTTTGACAGTGTAACTCGTAGAAGTAGGACCATTGAAGGTTATACATTTTGAGTCAGTGTTTTCTGTTTCTCAACCCTTTGTGACAGAATACAATCTGTAAAAAAAAAGGTACACGTTTTTCCTTTTGATACATTTTAAATACATACAGGTCTTTATGCTGAAAAAGATAAGATGAGTATCTTCAGATTGATAAACAAGGGAGAAATGTCCAAGCCATTAGAAGATGTTCTAATATGGTATCCTACTTTTTCAGTATTATAGTGAATTTAATCTGTTTTGATCAAAATTGAGCAATAGGTGGAAAATGACCTTTATACTAGGGAACTTTTTTTTTTCTTTTCAATTTTCCAAGTCTTGACCTGATGGTCTAATATCTGGGAGAGTTGAGGGAACTGAACTACCTACCGCATCTCTGCTTCGCAGGCTGAAGTCCAGCCTTCCCAGCAGCGCGCGAGGCCCCCTGGTAACACCGTAATGGGAAGGAACGCAGCTCCTTACCCTCAACTTCCAGCTTCACCAGTTTGGAATAGGCCGTCCCGAGGCTGTTCTTTGCCACACATCGATAATGTCCTGCATCTTCCTTTTGCACATTGTGAATCCTTAAACTCCCGGATTCCAGAACTGCAGTGCGGGGGTTTTCCTGCCAGGCATAGGGACATGAATTTAAAATGTCTGTGGGTTTGTTGAGGACATATGTGATATATTTCATCAAGTCATCATTATCACACTGATCAGAAATAGCGTTTTAACATTTATTTGGCCTTTATTATGTATAACATACAATAATAAATAAGATCATGTAAGATTACCAATTTTTATTTTCTTTTATGACATGAGGACACAAAGGCTGATCTGATGTCCTGAATCAACAAGCCTTATTTTAGGAATTTACTTGATTTCTAAAAAGTCACATCCAAATCTGTTTCATTAAAAAGCATTGTTTTAAACACCATATTTACTGCCTACATGGTATTCTTAAGGGAATATATGTCCTTTGAAAAGCTGGGAAATGGTACAAATAATATAAAATTTGGTATTTATAGTTAAGATATTACATTTATCTTTTCTTTTGGGGCTCTATATTCAATAGTCTATGTAGAACCACCCCTTGCTTTTATTACAGGAAATACTTATAACAAAAGGAAAGCCAGAGAATTATACAGAATATTATTCAAGTTAAAATTATTTATTTTATTTTAAATAAAACAAATTCTTATTGATATTATACTTCATTTCAGTTAATCGACATATATCAGCACCTGTGTATTCCCCATGGAATACTCTGAGTATAGTAATATGAAAAATGTATTATCTGTGACCTGGTTGAGTTCATAGTTGGTAGGTTACTTGAGGACAGAAAGATACAGTGATAATGCAGTGTAGTAATTTATCAGTGAATGCAGGTATGAGATATGAACGCAGAATACAATGAGCATGGGCATAATTTCTGGTCTAACTGCCCTGTGTGACTGAGGTCATTGTCAAGGTGTTCGTTTGCCGGTCTTGACTCTTGATGCTCTAACTTCACTCCAGAATGTTCTCATTCCTTTTCTTCCAAACCTCATTTCTCTCTCTCCTCCCAGAAACTATTTGTCAGGTCTAAAGCCAAGATTTTAGTTCCGTCTTTTTCATCCCTTGAATCTCAAAGATTCAGTGTTAAACAGTAAATGATTCAAATACCAACCAACCAACAAAAAAGACTCTAGCTTTGCTTGGCTTGGTTTGGCTTCATTTTTCATCCCTAATACTCCTGGTTCCCATCTCTTTTTTCTCCTACTCAGCCCCAACTGGAATGCCTTACAATTTGCTTGTATGGGAACAGAAATATTTAAGTTCAGTTAAAATGTTGTACATGGACAAAATTTTATGCTAGAAGTTTGTAAGCGTGTAACTGAGTTCGCAGAGGATTGTTGTATTTGGAAATGTGTTGTACAACCATGTTTTAACATAATAATCACTTACCCTGAGAGCACTGTCCTCCTTGATCCACGACACTGATGGCTTGGGATTGCCCATCGTGGTACAGGGCAGGACTGCCTTTAATCCTTCTATTATTTTTACATTTATGGGAGGACGAGTTATTTTAGGTTCTAGAGGGAAATGAAAATTAAAAATTAAAAAGGCCATATAGCTTTATTATAGTTAGAGTTTCTAACTTTATGTTTAATTCTAAATATCCATTAAAAAATATTTGTAGGTGTATTACATTACGGAATTCACCAAGGGCTAAGACATGTTTGTAGTGGGTATCAAAAAGAAATCATTTTAAAAAGTTTAGGTTATCTCTGTTTTATGTTTTAAAAAAAATTTTATTGACGTATAGTCAGTTACAGTGTGTCAGTTTCTAGTGTACAGCATAATGTTTCAGTCATACACAAATGATAAATGATGGAGAGGGTGTGGGAAAAAGGGAACCCCCCTACACTGTTGATGGAAATATAGTTTGTACAGCCATTAAGGAAAACAGCATGGAGATTCCTCAAAAAACTGAAAATAGATTTACCATATGATCCAGCAATCCCACTCCTGGGCATGTACCCGGAGGGAACTCTAATTCAAAAAGATACATGCACCCCAATGTTCAAAGCAACACTATATACAATAGCCAAAACATAGGAACAACCAAAATGTCCACTGATAGATCACTGGATAAAGAAGCTGTGGTATATTTATACAATAGATTATTTTTTCTGTTTTATCTTATTTGAAAAACAAATTCATAAAACACATTAGGAGCTTGAAGTTATCACAGTATTTTTCACTTTAAAAAATAGTTAATAAAAAGTGGATTAGATTGTTAATGTAACAATTCAACATTATTTAATTCAATTCATAGCAACAGACATAGAAACATATTCAAATAAATTTTTGATATGTTTATATTTTTACACAATTCTGAGTAATGACCTTCTCACCCTTTAGTGTCCATCTTAATTTGACTATTAAATATGATGATTAAAAATGAGATACATTTATCCTCTAGAAAATAAACTAGACGTTATTTGTAATGAGAGAAATTCTGTCATATGATTGAGAAACTCTTCTATGCAAAGCAAACTTGTGTGTCCTGTTCTGTGAAACACACAAGTTAATTTTTTCAGAAGAAATAGTTTATGTCAGCTGATGTTTATTCTCCAATACTGAGCTTTCAGAGGAAGGAGTTATTAAATCTGATATATAGAAAAATGGACACTTCAGGCTGCCAGTTATTTTACTATCTGAAACATTCATAAAGTAATGAAAACTGTATTTACGTCCTTAGGAATCTTATGTTACAGATGCAGAACAGAGGGCTGTCTTTGCAGGAGAGACTACTGAGGAATGGATGCATTTTATTTCTGTCAGGTCACGTGCCATGATCAATTTGTTACTTTGACATAGAA